CCTGCGGACTTGGGTTGCTGGCTGGGACGCGCAGGCAGAATCATGCGCATGCAAGTGCCGGTCAGTGTCGTTCGAAAAGCATACGGACGAAACGTGTTGACTTGGATAACTGCAATGCTAGGCCAAGTGCTTGGGACTCCAATCAGAACAACGGTAGCTAGAGCAAAATGGTAGTGATCTTGATCAACAGCACAAAAAAGGCACATAGTCGCCATCTCCTTCCCTTTCTGGTGGAAAGTGTTTCATAGTACAAGGCATCGTAGTAGCAGCTTCAGATGCATTGAAGGCAAGAGCGGTATTGCCTGCACACCTCCAGGCAAGGACGCCGAACCACGCAGAAGAGGCCACGGGCTCTCCTGAGAAAGGGATGGCTTACCTACGGCTGTAGGATGGTTTAGGGTTTTCTTGGGGTTTCAGTTCGGGATTAGGGCTCAGGGGACTGCGCATGTGTTTGGCTGTCAGGTTGAGTGCCCTTGGGGCTTCCGTCAGGTGGCAAGATTCGGCTCTGTCAGTTCTTGTGCTCGATGGCTTCAGATTCGTTCCGGGGTGTTGGGACAGCTCTGTCAGCGAGTCGCAAGCCTGGGCACAAAGCCCCAAAAAGAGATCCTTCCTGCACTGGGTCATTCCTGCGGCTTCCGTTCAGCATACATTGGTTGAAGTCGTTCAGAGCCGGACCGTTGGTCAGAACTCCAGGATTCAGTGCTGCGCCGTTGCAGAGAAGGAGAAGACCAAGACGAAGAACGAAAGGCCCCCGACCTGATGCCTCGTCTCACTGTTGCTGGGTTTCATGGGTCATTGCTGCTCTCTAATCAGATAGGGAGTGGAGTCTGCTGGCTCAGCCCCTCGATAAACGCGGTTCATAGCACCAACACGTGTAATCTGCGGCAACATCTTTGAACATCGTGGCATTGCCAAATATGTTGTGGCTAGACTCTGGTCTCAAAGTATCGCTTGAAAGAATGTCGGACCAGCGTCGGCATCCACATCTATTACAGGCTGCACCAGCATCAGATGCAGAGTAAGCACAAGCTAAAATCCATCAGTGCGTGTTTCCTACAACATTTTGGGCCTGAGAGGGGCGCCCCGACGTGCGGAAGTTGCTATGCCAAGTTGTTGTTTGTTGGCTTGCCTAGCTTGGTGCAGCCGCAACAAGTGCACAGCTTTCCGCCTCTCGCTGCCTTGTATATTGGGCAGCTGGACGTGAAGTACATGGTTCCAGGCACGTTTGGAAGGTGAGTCACAGGTGTTCAGTTTTTTTGAAAAGTATATTGCAATCCAGCTCTCAGCCCAGAGCCCATCAAGCCAAAAAGCCCAGCCCTAAACCCCCAAACCCTGCACCCCTAAACCCTAAACACTGAATGTTGGGCTGGAGTCCTGCGTGTTTCGAAGGCCTGTCTTTCCATTCTCTGCCATCGTCGGGCAGGCTGCCTGCTGCCCAGTCGATATAATAACAGTAGTAGTTACAATAGTAGCTACAACAGCAGTAAAAACAAGACTGACTTTTGATCTTAATAATACCGATACTAGTATTAATGAAAATAGCCATCGTAATCGTTCCATGTAAGCCTTCGGTTTGAGTCCAGGTTCCAAGCGGCATGCAGAGCCTTGCGCACATGCTGTGTCGACTCATACTCTGCTTGATCTGATACTGTTGCTGCAGACACTGGCCTAAAGCCTGTGACTGGAGATGTGTGGATTGTCATCAGAATTACATGTGGCGATGCTAGGATGCTGTGGTTTTTTGTGTGTGGAGCCCCTGCTCCTCTGCGACGCCCTGGTTTCGGTGAGAGGCAGGTTAGTTGTCCAGAGAGCCTGTTTTGCGACAGACTGCAAATTCGTCCGTCCTTAAGGAGATGAAGCTGTCGCTGATCCTCAATGTGATCGACCCAAAGGCTTGCCCAGTAGAACAGTCTCCGGTCTTTGGGGTTCCCTGGCATCACACGGTATTTCCAAGCTGCTTTGACAGCATGTCTGTAGCTTTTACACGACATCCCAATGCTGAAGGTTTGAACTAGGTACACGAAGGGACGCTAGTCCCAAGGACATGATAGCAATGATAGCAGATGCGTCGTCCTTCAATATTGAATCGCCCCTCTTTGCTCTGCAAGTGCTGGATGGACTGCTCATGGAAGCAGCAGCTGCAGCGGGGTTGTACCAGCCGTGGTTGCAGCCGTGGTAGCAGCGACTGTGGCCCTTGCACTAGCAGTACAGTCAACAGCAGTAGTCGTCGATTTCGTCATCGTAGTCACGGACGCAGTCGTGGTAGTAGCCGCCCGCGTGCTCGTCCTCGTCGTTTTTGCTGTGTACTAGCAGCAGCAGCAGCAGCAGCAGTAGCAGCAGCAACAGTAGCATGGATCCGTTGAGCTGCCTGATGCACGAGATTCCACAGTGTTCGTGTCCTTGGTTGCTTCTGCGCATCGTCTGACTTGCAGATTGGTGGGGTGATGATCATGGGAGACCGCGGAACTGGAAAGACGACCACCATTCGAGGCCGAGGGCATGGGGGATGGTTCTTTTTGTCGATTCCAAGGCATGACGGCGGCGATCTGTGCGCAACCCGACTGGCGCAGCGTCGACTGCTTCTGGGGTCTTGCAAGAACCGTGATAGCTGGTTAGCCCACTGATTGGGAAGTATAGTTTGTTTGTACTGTTTTCTATGTGAAGCATACACCACTTAGTCTAACATGGTACCACACCCACCAACCTCCTCGAATGTTGTGACCCATGTCTGGGACCTCGGGTTGTTGTGACGTCTACTTCTGGAAGGTGATCGGAGATGGGTCCTCAAGTTGCACACGGACTGCTTTGCGAAAAAAGTTATGAAATAGCGGGGCCGTAGCCATGGAAAGCAGCTGAGAGCCACATTACTGGCCCGACCCTCAAGCCCGAAGCGCTCACCTGAGCGCAAGCACTTACACCCTCCTGCCCCTAAACAAAAACCTGAAGCCCCTGAAGCCCGAAGTGTGTTGCACCTTCGATTCCTTTTGCAGCCCTCGTGGACCTCCTCCCCGAGATTCCCTGTGTCGCGGATGACCCCTACAACTCCTCGCCAGACGAGGACAGATCTTTAGGTGCAGGGCTGCGATTGAAGTCTTAACGCAGATCCGTCATATCGTTTTGCCTGAATTCCTTCATCCAGCCCCTTAGGTTCATTCGCTTGGTCGCGCCCCTTTGTCGGATTCCCGAGCTCCGAGACGCAAGAGAGACCCTGAGCCAAGCTGCCCCAATTCTGAAATCTTGAAATCACGTGAGACGGGGGGAGAAAAAGGGAGAGAGAAGGGCTGCCGGCTGCCTGCTCTAGCCTTTTCAATCAACAGAGAATGCTGGTGATAAGCTCTTACTTGGTCCTCACAAACGCATACTCGCAGCAGACGGAAACGCCTTTCGTGGCAGACCACAACCAGGCTTGAAGAGCTCAACTCATAAAGTCCTGATTGACCTCGGCAAGCTCACGCTCAAGGTCCCGGATCCTACCGTAACAACAGCATCACATCTATTGTTAGAACCCCATGATGGCAACACCATGCGTGAGCACCTTTGCCGAGGAGGAGGTGATGAGCCAAGAAGTCCGTGATCGGAAGGCTGGGCTTCCTGATTGCATGCCCGAGCAGTTTTCGGATCGCCCAAAAACTTGAGGCAGGTCGAGGGGAGATGTTGGCGAGACACTCTGCAACACTGAATGGCGAATGTGTACTGTAGTACGCAGGAGCACGAGCTACACTCCTGTTTCCTGTGGGTGCAGCACCCAATTGCACCGACTACGACGTCACAGATTTTCATGAGAGCATGGTCGACCTGGAGAAGGTGTAGAAGAGCCGTCCATGCAATTCAGCCGACAGCTGGGGTACAGATCACGCTCTACTGCCCAGTGAAGCCACAACCATCCGAAATCTGTGGGCTCTAGCAGAAGGAAGTCAACTCGTCTTTCTCATTGTCTTGGATGCTGATGGTGTGATGATGTTGACGACTATGATGGTATGCCAAATGGTGTGCTGTGGATGACGAGGTTAGGGACGATGAAGATGCCGACACGATGACGGTGATACTGTTGATCAAGATGATGACAATGATGAAGATCATCATCATCAGCATGATCATTCTGGTATGTCGAAGAACCAGACAACTATCAAGAGGAGAGCGGTGATAATGACATGGTTGAAGATAGTCGTCAGATAGTCATTACGATGGTTGGTGTTTGCTGTGAGGGCGGCGATGATGATGACGATGCTGGTGAGGATGATGACGATGGTGATCATTATCATGATGATGATGATGATAATGATGATGATGATGATGGCAGTGGCAGTGGTGCTGCGGACGACGAGGTTGAGGACGACGAAGCTGCCGACACAATGACTGTGATAGTGCTGATCAAGATGATGACAATGATGATGACCATCATCATCATCATGATGATCATGTTGGTATGTCGAAGACGATGCATGGAAGAACCAGACAACTATCAAGAGGGGAGCGATGAAAATGACATGGTTGATGAAGGTGATGATGATGATGATGATGAAAAATGATCATGATGATGTTGACGAAGACGATGAAGATGTTGTTGTTGGGAGATAATGATTGCAAGTATGCTGTTCCCGTCTTGGTCCGGCGGCATGCGAACTAGGACATTTCAAGGAGACTGCTGGATGGAAGCTTTTTGAGCGAAGCTGCATACGATTGTCGGAGCAATTGGTGCGGATCGTCTTTGCCATTGTTGTTGCTGCTTTTGGTATGGTTGGTGCCGTTTTGCAGCTGCCGTCGTCATGGTCCTTGTCGTCGTCGTCGTGGTTCTTTTTGTTGTCGTCATTCTTGTTGCTGTTGTTGGTTGATGCTACTGTTGATTGGCAGTTGGCGGTTGCTGGTTGTGGCCGTGGCTGCACATGCTGTTGTTGTAATTTGCTAAGAGCTTGACTTGTAATGGTAGCACTTCTCCAAGCTCTTGGAGTCCTCAAGCATCCCCGAAGTTGGGGCTGAGTTTAGGGCTCCGCCTCGGCTAGGCTGGTGGGGAGGACCTTCCGCTGAATTACAAGAAGGTGCCCATGTCTTGCTCTCAGCTTCGAGGCTTGGGGATGTCTCGTTCATCAGGCTCCAGCAGTAGTCAAGCCCTTGGGGCGTGTTGGTCGCCTGATGCCAAATGGACCAGGTACTTGCACATTTTTCGGTTGGGACGAGTAACCGCTTGCATTTAGTCGTCAGGCTTCGATAAAGGTCTCCCGCAGACAGCAGCGACGAACGAGCGGCAGCGGCATGACCGCAGCATCCGATGTACTTGCTTCCCCTTCTCAGAGCCCTCGAAGCTCCAAGGATCGATCTGCCCCTCGGAGCCACAGAGGACCGCGTCTGTGCTCTGCCCAGTGGCACCTTCGAACGGCTTCCAGGACCATCCTGCAATCCACAAATCCGCCCCGACGGACGCAGAACCCAAGAAGAACCCGGGCATCGCCGAGGTGGCACGATTGACATCGAGAAGGCCCTCACTCAGGGCAAGAAGGCAAGCGCCCAGCGCTGGGTCCACTGCGCATGCGTATAATATCAACAACGGCGCTTACATGTATGTATGTGTGCGGGTGGGTAAACACACACAAACACCCCTCTTGACCTACGTTCCCGAGCTCGTCTTCCTGAGCAATCGAGGGCGCAGGTTCTTATGTCGGACACGGTCGTGGCCTTTTCATTATTGCCAGCTTGCATAATCAATCATGACACATACCCACACAGAGACAACAGCCGGAACCAACAAGAGCGAAACCCATGACAAACACTCATGAGGAAAAAGCTGGACTCCTGTAAGAAACCGTTCTGCCTTCAGAAAACCAAACGATGATTGTAAATAGGATGCCTTGCAGACCAATTTACTTTTTGGAAGAAGATAAGCCACGTTTGTCAGGAAAAGAAGGGTTCTGCAAAAAGGTAGGGGCAGCTCATCTCGTCGACGAATCGCTCCCGACTAAAGAGACTAGAGGGCCGCATTCACAGAGCATCCGACAGCGTCTAAGGGCAAGGATTCCCGAGACACAAATTCTCCAAACCTCGCCTTTGCCCCAATGCCCGCTCCCCCGGCCGAAGCCCCGACTTTGAGGCCTTTGAGCCGGGCCTGCTCGCGAAAGCCAACCGCGGCATCCTCTACGTGGATGAGGCGCGGCCGCCGTGGTCTTGAGGCAGTAGTCTAGGCAGGAAGTGCAGAGCTCAGAGGCTTATAGAGTCTCACGTTAACCATCGTTCCCGTCGTCACATCAGCGACAAGCGCAGTGACGAGAGTGTGGTATCCTTCATTTTGCCTTTGCTGTGCAAAAGCATAAAGCTGCCGCTCAGAGTGGTGAGACCATTCTTGAAACAATAGCCTTTCCAAGCATTGGTAGTGGGCAACGAGAGTTTATGGGTCACGAGCACCAGCTACTTCTAGTGACTAGTACTTACTAGTGCTGTCAGATTAGTGCTCGTACCTGGTACTGTCACTAGTAGTACTCTTAGTTCAAGCACTTTTTGTGCACTTTTGGTGCTGGAGAACGTGTGTCAATATGAGTACTTGTAGTAGCAGTACTGCGAAGACGACGGCCGCTGCTACTTTACCTGTAGCTCTTGAAGATTCAAAGGGTTGCTGTGCTGATGCTGCACTTCTGGTGTAAGAAAAGACATCATGGCTAGGGGTATTCAGCTTGTCAGAATGTCTATGCAGACTCGTTCGGCTTGGGACTCGTTGTGTCGTCTTCCTTTTCTGCGGCATCGCACTTTTTCAGAAGCTTCAGCCGCTGTCATTTAGCACGTCAGGTTCCGGGTGTAAGATGCAATGCTCAGGAGCTTCAAAACTATGAACCGGAAACAAGGCCTAGTGTTCATTGACTTGGCTCGCAACCGAGTCGAAACACGTGGACTTTGAGATACGTGTCGTAAGTGGCGCAGGAACTTTCACACGGTCTGTCTGCGACTTGCTGAGGTGAACCTGCTGGACGATCACCTCGTTGATGTGCTGCTGGACAGTGCGGCTGGCGGCTGGAATACAGTGGAGCGCGAGGCTTTACGTGAATGTTTTATTGGTGGTGCGCTAAGTACGGGTATGCATGTTAAATTCCCTGAGAATACTAATGACAATGTTGATACCTGTATGACTTTGGTGAGTCTCTCAATCGTACTCCCCACAGTAGTGGGCAGCACCAGTTGCAACAGGCGGATTGCGAGGGACAGCGATAGCGCCAAGAACACTCACCTCCTGACGCTTTGTTAACCACTGATTCACTCCAGCTGACATCACTTGCCTGGTTGTAGATGCGAGTTTGGCCAAGCCAACATTCGGCCTCACTCCAATGCCAGGGCATCAGTATCCGCCACCCCGCCAAGTTCATCCTCGTTGGCAGTGGCCTGCCCGTCGCGACATTGGCCATGGAACTGCGCAAAACTGATTTTTGAGGATGTACAGATTCAAAAACCGTGATTTGCATAGATTCTAAGTTTCATGAGAGAGGACCATTTCATAGTGAGGAAGGAAATACAAACACTCATGTCCATGTAGATGTTGCTTGAGGAAGGGGGGTTGTCAATGAAATGCCCAAGCCTGGGGTCAAATGCGCTTCGAACCCAGAGCGCGCAATCCAAGTTGAACCGTACCCTGTTGAACGCGAATCATCGCCGCTGGGTTTACAAACTATGGACCAATGTGCTGGGCTGCTGCTCTTCTTTGGCTTTCTTGAGACATAGCAGCAGTTTCGAACGTTGATATGTTTGTCGCAAGGGTTTGGTCCATGCGACTCCCATGGTCATTGCCAGCAGTACGTTTCTTTCAATCGCCGATCATGAAGTTCGACAAAGTCTTTGATTCAATGCAATTTCAGAAGCGTCATTCGTATTGACAAAGCTTTAGTCGTGTCAAGCAGTACTTAAGTTATGTCAAACATTTCACGCCAGACATGAGTGCTACGACCGTGACAAACTACTTCGAAGACGAGCACTGTTACCACCACTAGGACTACGACCACAGTCGCGAGTACCACTTCGTGCTTCTGCTCATTGCCACTATGATTCTCACTGCCATGTTCATCATCGCTGTCATCCTCTTGACCGGCATCATTACCTTCTTAATTGAGTCTTCCTCTCCATCTTGCCAACATGACCGTCTCTCCTCATCAGTCGGTATCAGTATCGCGCTGTCGCTTTTCTGACTTCGCTGGTGCTGCCGTGAAGACCAACCTCTCGCCCCGTATGAGCTGTTGCCAGGAAACCCTGAGGAGGGTGAGCTCCGACCACAGCTGCTCGACCGCTTCGGCATGCACGCACTGATCCGGCCCGGGCCCACGTTTTAGAGTTAGCTGCAGTTGTGCACGATGATTACAACAACTACTAGTACTAGTACTAGTACCAGTACCAGTACTAGTACTAGTACTAGAATTAGTATTAGCATTAGTATTAGTACTAGTACTAGTACTACTGTTGATGGAGGAAATCTTGCACCACTTTAAGTGACCGAGCAAAGCAGAGACCCCGCACCCCCTTCTTAACATTGACTGTTGATCCTCCGAAGTGCCGTGGGTTCCATGACCAAAATCTTGCACCACCTCGGTATCCATCATCGCCAATGTTAAACAGGCGGTGCGGGGTTACGCTCATGTGTCGCTTCACTTGTTCTTAAATCGGTGGTGCAAGATTTCCTCCATCAACCCGTAGTACTACTACTACTACGACGACGACTACTACTGCTGCACCTATTACGGCCACCCCCACCACCACCACCAGCACCCTACTACCACTCCGACTACACCTATTACGGCCACCACCACCAGCACCACCACCGCCACCGCTGCTGCCATCCCTACTCCTCCAAGCGCTGTTGTGGCAGCTGTTGCTGTTGCTTCCGCTGTTGTTGTCGTTGGCATTCTAGAAATCTTTGCTGTTCTGCGCTGTCCCTGCTTCTGGAGCCTGCATACGGCTGGAGAAATTGGAACCGCCTGCAGTCGAGTGTAAACATCTCTGAAGCAAGGACGGAGCGGGATCCCGAGCTCCGTGTGAAGATTGTGGTGCCTGGGCTCAAGCAGTCTTGATACCTGCTCTTGGCGCTTGAAGATGTTTACAGATCAGCCTCGGGATGTGATAGAGGGCAATAAGGACAATACAGGGTCGTTTGCACCATGCAGGTGTCCCTGGTGTCGATGGACTTCGTATTTTTCGTTTCTGTTGCATTCCAGGGCTTGCTTTGTACAGTTCGCAAAGGGGCTTGGAGAAGAGAAGTTGGTGCTGGCAGGAAAGCACCCGCGAGTTCGCTGACGATCCTGTGGTCTAGCGCTCAGGTCAGGTGCACACTTACCTGGAGGCAGCGTAGGCTGCGGATCTTCTGAATCCTGGAGCCTCAAGCTGCTGTAATGGAGCCGATCGGAAAGTCCCACCAGGAATTCAAAAACTCCAACCGGCGAAATCCTTTCCTGAAATCTCTCATGCCGAGACATTCAGAGAGAAGTATACCGGTGACAACAGCGAGTTTGCGACCTCCATCCTGGAGGCCTCGTGTGTGCTTGAAGGATCATAGGAGGCAACTAGGCTCAGGAAGACGGTAACTGCATTCATGAATTCTCAAGACCCCAATTCAGGATTCTTGTAACCTTACTGAGTCCGTTGATCCTTCATTTGGGTCTTGGTCAAGGCATTGCCTAAGAGGTCCACAGCCCCAAAGAGCTTGCAACGTCTTGTCTGGAGAACTGGGAGCACGGACTGGCCGACTGTTAGCTCGAGGAGACATGTGCACATAAAAAAGGCACTGGCGGATGCTACACTTCCCTCTCCACTTTTGGTCGGCTCCACAAACCCGAATCAAGTTCCGCGTCTGCTGTTGGTTCCCGGAGTCCTGATTTCCGCCGCTTCATCTCCACGCCCTCCATCCAAAGCTTTGCAAAAGAGTCAGACTTCGAAAGAGCTTGGTTCCTTGCGCCAGGCGCAGGATCGTCTCAAGGAGGCTTGCGGCTCGTGCACCCTCATTGCTTGTGAAGCTCCACGTAGACTCGAAGAAATGCTGTGAGTTTCGGGTTCGTGCCGCCGATCTGAAGTTCAGGGTTTCGGTGCCCGAGGTTCACAGCTGATGCAGGATTTGCAGAAGGGTTGCACTGCACAATACAAGAGCCACACTCCCCGCCCTCAGAAGAGACCGAGACAGAGACGGAGGGAGAGAGAGAGAGCTTGCTTAAGGAAAAATTGTCAGCATGATCATATACCTACGGCCTATGCTGGGTTGTCGAGCAACGTTCGCTCTTGTCATCAGGGAGGGTCGCAGACTGCCCAGTACCGCGACACTGCCAGTCCTTCCACTCCCACTCTGATGTAGGGTGCGCTGACGCGCAGAGAGGGGGAAAGCCCCCGTCCTTCCCCTGCAAAAAGAAAGAGCGAGCGACAGTCATGCACTTTCATGCTGGTGTCAGGGCAAGAGATCTTCAGGACCCAAAATCTCACACGCCTAAACCCTAAAGCCCTCAGTTCTGTAGCCAGCTGACTGAAGCTGAAGCTCAAAGCTGGCTTGGAGGTGAAGACACCTCCGGAGCTTGCCCGAAAGATCTCTGAGGTGCAGCACATGCCATGTCGATACCGCTCCGAAGAACTACATAGCGATACCGCGCATTGGTATTGCACTGCCTTACATTGTGTGGAAGGGATGATTGTGTCGGAGAGCACTGCATCACATGACGCTACAATACCTTCTCGTACATTGCTTTATGTTGCGTTGCAGTTGCAGCACATTGTGTCACATGCCAAGGATTTCCACACAAGTTCCTTGAATTGATTCCCCCGATCTGTATAACCCAGCGGAAACCGGATTTTGTGTTCCACTGCAACAAAGATGCTGGCCCCACTGAGTACTGACGTGTTTTGTTACAGCTCATAGTCATACGGTTGATGATAGAAATCCTGCATTACCTTAAGGACCTTAAACTATGCGAATTATGATCTATTCCTTACTATGGGGAATGCAGGATGTATACCATCATTCGTAGTGCCATATGCACATCTGTACATGCATGGTATTCCCCCAAAGCAACTCGGATCCGACTGATTCGAACCCCGATCCAGAACGGAAGATCCAAGGTTTCCGGGTAGGCCTCAGAGACTTGAAGCAAGAAGAAGACTAGATGACTGCGACCTGAAGGACCGAAGTTGAGGATTGGTGTATCTTACAACTTAAAGCCCCAAACCCTAAAGTGTGTGTACATCCTTGGGAAAGGTCTGCAGTGAGCTCAACATCGATGGACTTCGAGGGGACATCGCTTCCCGGTCGCAGATTGCAGCTCAACATTCCCCGCTGTAACCAAGGGGCCTTTCGAAATTTAAATTCAGATCTCTTCAAGGCTCTACAAGGGTTCCTAAAAAGGGTCGTCAATGTGTGGAATAGGGTTTGGGGGTTATGATGGCACGACTATGTAGGGACTCTAAGGGAACAATGATACGAAGAACTTGTGCGAACAGATTTGCACTATTGCAACTCTTCACTTGTTCGATTATGCTTACCATTCGCTATGATCTGCTTGCTCCTGCAGCGCTGTTGCTACGACCGCTATTGTTACTACCCTGCTTGCTGTTGCTACTGCTGCTTTTCTCCTTCGATCGCTCTATCGCTACATGTCTACTTGGTGCTGCAGCTTCTACATATCTCAAGCACTATTCCCACAGCGTTTGCCGTTCACCCGATGATCATGAAAACATCCACCCTTGTATCACGTATCCGTCATGTGTGGTACAGATTTGCTGTCATCATGAAAGCTGTTAGTGTAGTTTTGCTGCCATTCTGCTGTTTGCCACTGTACGACTGTATGTTACCGTTGCTACAATTCCTAGCCGCATTTCAGCTAGTCCTAACCCTACTGTTGTCATCAGTCATCAGCATTACCATTGTGCTTGTTTTTACCGCTCATACGATTGCAGTTGCTACTGCTGCCGATTCTGCTGCTGCTTCCAGTCCCTGGTCTTGTGCAGTCCTAGGTTGAGGTTATTGTGGCGATTGTCACTGTTGTGCGAGATTTGTGTCGGTGTCTGAAGTTGCTCCAACTTTCTCGCAAATGCTTGCGATGTGTGTGCTAATTGTCGGTACTGCGCCGACAGCGAGCTACTGCACTCGATATTCTGCAACTGTTGATCGTCCTACTGTCTACGCACGTAAGATTTCGCGTGCTGCTGTTATCGTTGCTATTTTGAATGCATCGTACGCCAGGAAGGCTTTTCACCCCAGGCCCAGCCCTGTCAGCGAGGTCACGAACCGTGCTGCCCGGGCCTATTGCGCTTTCGACGGACGAACAGAGGTGACTTCGGATGACGTCGGCAAGGCACCATCTCAAGGGAGTGAGTACCGGGCGCAATAAAATTGTTAGCAGTCGCATTAGCAGCGGCACAGACAACTGCGGCAGCAGCAGCAGCAGCAGCAAGAACAGCATACAAAAAGGCGACAGAGGAAACAGGCGCAGCAATGCTATCTTCGTGACGAACATTACTTCATCGATAGCAACAACGACAAAAAGGCAATCAAGGAACAGAGCGACGACAACAATGACCATAGAAGCACCAGACGACGCCGCCATTACAGAGACGACGACTGCCGCCGTCACTCCCCTGCGTCATCGTCAGCAACAACAATGATGATGCTCGCACCATCAATATCACAATCACGAGCACAGATCTGAACCACAACAACAGCAAAGACATCACCAAAATCACGACAACAGCAGCTACAGTAACCAGCACAAGTACATGGCAGCAGCAGCACCACCACCGCCACTGGCACCAGCACCTGGACCAACAGGCTGCGGATTGTTTAGATAGTGCAGCATCGCTTGGACGACAAAGACGATTCTGACTACACTTGCTACAAAGACTATGATCGCGATGGTCCCACTATCTCTCGCTGTCACCTGCCGCCTGTCACCCCGAACCCGAAACCCTAAACACATCTTCCCCCTTGGATCGTTTTGGAGGTCATCACGCTCTGCCTGCGTCACCGACTGCGCAAGGCTGGCCCTTCAATGGAGAGCGCTTTGGGGTCGTGGGGGTGAGAGGTGTGGGGCTCGCTTCTAGGATCTTCAAAGCAGAAGCCTGAAGCGGTGTTATGGTCCGCGGGAAATAACATGGTTTTCAGGGCTCATCTTGCTTTCAGGACGTCCTGGATACCATGGATGGTGGCGACAAGGTGGAGAAGGCACCCGCAAATAATGTCGTTTGGAGAATCCCAAACCCAAACCCTGGAGGCTGAGATTGCACTCATGCCTGCATTGTAGCCGGGGACAGCAACAAAACGGATGCCATGAACCACCACTGTCAGACTAGTTGAGTCGTGGGCGTGTTGCGAAGGACAACCAGATCCAAAGCCGTTCTTTCGAAGCAGCACCTTTCAGAGGAATCGCGCAGGAAATATGTTTTTGCCTGGGTGTGCAAAATGTTGCTACTGAGTGCCGTTGATCGCCAGGTGATAGAGTCGAGATCAACAAGCGAAATCAAAGCCGGAGTGATGACACTAGTAATTCCAATTAAAGCATGAAACAGCAACGGCACCAGCAAGAACAACGGTAGCGGTAGCATTTGCAGTCGCAGTGACAACAACCAGAAGAAGTCAATGACTAAAACAAGAACAGCAGTTGTGATGTACAAGAAGAGCAGTGCACGACACACTGCCAGTGAAGTGATGATGATGACGAAGATGATGAGATGATGTACATCGCCTTCGTCGTGGTCATCGCTGACGACACTGCCGCAGCAGGAATCGATGCTATGTAGTATAACCACGTCGAAGTATGATTTGTTTCATCGCCACAATTGTTGCCATTGCCGCAGTCTTAACCGAAAAAACTAGTCGTAATTGGATTGAGAGGTTGATAGCATCAACAAGAGCAGCACGAGCACGGGGGAATGCATATGATGACTAGCCGCATGGTTTGAGGGAAATCAGAACATGAAGGGCATGCAATACAAGTACGGAGAACAATGACGTTTACGACCTCGACGATGATGACAATAGCCATGGGTCCAACAAGAGCTACTACTGCTGCTACTA